CAGGCCCGGCAGCACCGTCAGGCACATCACGTAGCTGAAGATGTCCGCCGAGATGAGCAGTGTGGTGGCATACAGCTGCGGCACCAGCAGCGCCTGCTGCAGCGGCATCACAATCTTATCCAACAGATTCCACCACAGGTGCGATGTGACCGCCAGGGACATGCGCCGAATGCGATGCTGCCAACAAGCAAAAGATGAGATCACATTAGATTACATCAGAGAGGCTACCATGCTTACCAGATTCGCATAGGCCTCGGGCAAGGGAGAGGAGCTGCCGGTGGCGCTGGTATTCTGCGGATTCTGCGAATAGAGGCGACCATTCGAGTGGGACTTGTGCAGCATCTGCGACTGCGATATGCTGTAGTTGTCGATGGTCGCATTGCTGGAGCGCATGATGGACACCGTTTCGTCCTCTTCGGGTATTATCTCCATGATTTCAACGCCATTCGGATTCACATACGTGACATACGCCTCATCCGTGGCGAGCATATAGTTGCTGTGCGTGTCGACGACGGCGGCGGCCACAGCTGAGGCTGGCGCTGCGTTCGTCTGCATCTCTGTGGCCGGATTGCGCCAGGACATGGGCGTCTCCAGGCCATCCATTTGATCCGCCACAAAGATGGCCGCCAGCGCGGCACGCAATGGCAGCGCACCGAAGCCGGTCTCCGCCTTGATTACTGAGATCCGTTTGGTTGTGAACGCATCCTCGCGATGCTTGGTGATGATCAGGCTGAGCGGTATGAGATTCACCAGCATTGCCGACATCAGCACAATGGACTGCGCGGTGCCATACAGGGTGCGCAGGCTGGTGAAGACGAAGGACAGAAAGAGCTGACAGAAGGCCTCGCCGCACAGATGAATCGTCTTCCGCACGTACTTGTCCTCGCGCGGACGCACTGCCTCCAGTATGACGTGCGTCTTCCACTGATAGAGACTGGCGCCGATACCTAAAAGGCCATAGGGGCATTTCAAACTGGGATGCTGGGAGCAGCAGGCACAGCTGGCACAAACGACTTACCCGCAAAGCAGCCGTAGAAGACAATGGCCACGGTCTGAGTGGTGGTGGTGACCACGACCCAGGCGGATGAGAAGAAGATGCCGCTGATCATGAGTGAGAGGCAGGCAATCAAGGTGGCCAGCAGAAAGATGCGTCTGTATTGAACTGTTTCGCGTGCCCGGCCGCTATACTCTGTGTCCAGGTGCTCCATAATGGAGCGGCAGAGCTCTCCGGTGGCCTGGTAGACGATCGCTGGCCAAATGCGCAGCACCAGATCCTTGTCCGATTCCACGACGTTGCCATACAAATAGGCTGGCGTTGCCAGAAATGCCTAGAAAAGAGAACGACGAGTGAGAGGAGGCAGAAGATAGATGAGTCGAGGGGGAGGGGGGAGAGAAAGAGACAGAGACCGAGCAAGTGAGACTTGAACTAAGTGCAAGACAATAAAGAGAGAGGCGGAGAGAGACAGAGACAGAGAGAGAGAGAGAGAGGTGGCAGAGAGAGCTGGAGAGAGCGGATGATAGCAGGAGAGAGGGAGGAGGGGAGAGAGAGAGAGAGACTTGGCTGATATATTTACGTGTATGGCAAAGCCGCAGAGCATATACTTCTGTTGTATGTGCTTCTTGACCACCCGCCGCCGTTGCACTCCGGCTGTGGCGCGGGCAGCGGCACGACGTACGGGTGCACCAGCAACTGGTGCCGCAGCCGCTGCTGTCATTGGCATTGTTGTCATGCCCGCCGTTCCCGTTGCCGTTCCTGTTACCGTTCCCGTTCCCGTTACTATTCCCGTTCCCGTTCCCGCTTATATTACTTTTCCCTGGAAAATTGCGACCGTTTTGTGGATGATCCCGCACAGTTTGCTTTTCGTATGGAATTTGTGTGCTGGTACTGTGTGAGGCGCGTCGTCTGGCCGTTAGCATTCATCATTTACCAAACCGAAACCCGTTTAGATAATGGCGAAAAAAAAAATAAATAAAATTGTGATAATAATCGCGCTTATCACATTGAAGATATCTCTGCGTACCAACACCCCCACAGAGGACGCATGCACAGTGTGTGTGTGTGTGTGTGTGTGTGCATGTCTATCTCCCTGTGTGTTGGGTGTGGGTGTTTGTGTGTGTGTGTGCCCGAGATTAACGTCAGATACATATGTAAAAAAGAAAAAAAAAAAAAAAAAGAAAGAGAAGAAAAATAATCGTTCGTCTTTGTTGACGTTGTTGGCTCTCCTGCAGCTCCGGCCACCAAACGCCAGCAGAGGACTATGTTTATGACCACACGCCAGCTGATCAGACATCGCACTCTGATAACGCGCAGCATACGATCCGGTAATGGGAGCCATTCCGAGTGCAACGTTGCCAGCAATTGTGTTACAACACACACACACACACACACACACACACACACACACACATACATCAGAAGGCTGTTCAAAAAGAAAACATGGAAAGCTTCATTCAATTGAATATTAAGATTAGGCCAAGAGGCAATTAAGGCAATCAGAAGTCGTTCTGTGAATGACTCCGTTTAAAATATACTTACATCAATTATGATTCCTTAAAATCCTATATAATTATTATTTGTCAGTGAAATGCAGTGAAACGCAGTGAAGTGAGCATATTGGGTTTGTGCAATATTCGTCTTGCGGTTCGTCCGTCTCTTCGTCTCTCAGTCTGTCCGTCTGTTCGTATGAATGCAAATCATATCGACGCCTTGAGATTTCGACCATGTGTATCCACTAATTATTATTTTTTTTTATTTTTTTTTTATTTATTTATTTGTTTTGCTTTAATTTATAAATTATTTTTATTTATTTATTTATTTATTTTTTTTTTTTTTTACATATTAGAAATATGTTCTCATTCCCGAAATACTTTGCCTTTATTTCTTTTTGTTCTTAATTTATTATTTTTTCGTTAATGTATGAATGATTTTTATTTACTTATTATACTCATTCACGAAAGTGAATCAGTATATTGGTTTTGTGCAATGTCCGTCTTGCTGTCCGTCCGTCTGTCCGTCTGTCCGTCCGTCCGTCTGTCCGTCTGTCCGTCTGTCCGTATGAACGCAATCTATTTCGGCGCTATTGAAGCTAGAGACTTGAAATTTGGAACACATACTCGTGTATATCTCCGATTTATAAAGTGTTAAAATTTTCCCGATCCGCCCACTAGGGGCGTGGCAAATCGGAAAATGCATTTTCCGATATACCAGAAATCATGTTTGTTGAAGAGCTAGAAAGCTGAAATTTGGTATGTAGGTCCGCGTTGACCACCCAAGATCACGAGCTATGGCGGATATATCTCCGCCCATTGGGGGCGTGGCAAATCGGATAAAACTGTATCTCCTAAAGTTGTAAACCTAGAATGCTGAAATTTTGCACGTCAGCTAATGGTATGATTCTATAAAGTCTGAAGATAAATTACAAGTCTACGCCCATTGGGGGCGTGGCAAATCGGACCTGAAGATATAGTGATTTTTTAAATTCTCCTATATTTTGGACACTATTGATGGCAGAGACCTCAAATTTTGTATATATACTCGGACTGATCACCCAAGACCAAAAAGTTTTGTCGGATATATGTCCGCCCACAGGGGGCGTGGCAAACCGCAAAAGTTTATATCTCCTAAAGTATAATAGCTAGAAGCTTCAAATTTAGATAGTTGAGTTACTGGTAGCCTCCTCTATCGATTCCCCAAAAATAATTTTTACGCCTCTTTAGGGACGTGGCATATCGAAAAATACCCTGTAATTTTCACATTTTTTGAGGGTAAGCATTCAAAATTTGCAGTTAGGGTACCGTTATCTCTTTCTAAAAACTGACCAAAAATGAGGTGTCTACGCCCAGTTGGGGCGTGGCAAATCGGAAAAACCTGTATATTCTACAGTATTAGAGCGAAACTTAACTACTAAATTGTTGATGGGATGTGAATGAGTATTCTGCAGTCGGTAACGCCCGACTGCAACGTTCTTACTTGTTTTTTATTATTTTTATTTTTAAAATTTATTTTTTTTTTACATATTAGAAATATGCTCATATCGTCGAAATACTTATTATTATTATTTATTTATGTTTTCTTTTATTTATAAATTAGTTTTGTTTATTCATTATTTTTTAAAGTTTATTTGTACATATTAAAAATGTAGTATCAAATGTAAAATATTCTTTTTGAAATAAAAATAAATATACAAATTATATATATTTTAGAAATCTAATATCCGCCTACAATCCACCTCATAATCTACTAGCCACAATTTCATAATGACCAACTCTCGACTAAGCAAACTAAATTTAGACGAAGAAACGTTATCAGTCCATGAAGCCAACTGCATGATCCCTGCTCAATGATTCATGGGAAACGTATATTACTTTGAGCATAATCATTTCAAATAGTACTTTGGCTAACTAATCTGGGGAATAAAGTAGAGCAAACACGGTCTTAAGTAGATAGTGGAATAAGCTAATCTATGTGTTTATAATATATTAAGCAAAACTTTGTATATCCAAATTGTTTTAAAGTACACTGGAAACTGTGATTAAATGTAAAATTATGAAATTGCCGTGATTCAGACTTGTTGTTTTCATCACTTCCAATGTCAACACATGGCCATAAATATTGTGGACAGGTAGGTGGTAGGTGGTTGGGTGTCGGGCGTGTCCGATTGGAGCTCAGCCAAATTGCAGATGCATCGGAGAGCGACAGAGGTTGACCTCCTGTACGGCGCTTATCAAGACAATATCTTTACACACTTCCGTTTCACATCCGCGGACAGAGCAGCGCACTGGGCGTGGCGGCTGCCTCTATTCGTACAGGTGAGTCTTTATGGGTTTACAACTGTATTTTGCGCTGATGGTGGTGACGTTAAAGCAACAGGTTTTATTTGCGCTATATACTAAAGTCGGCCTGGAGCTGTGAGATAGGGCCAATCGTAATTAGGCGCTAGGGTTGATAAGACCCAGCATCCGGCGACCAGATTCTGCTATAAAATAGAGTGTGGGTAACACAAGTGGCTCATACAACGATCGACCGAAGTTAGCCACAGGCAACACGACGATGACGACAACAACAACCAGAACAACAATCAGAACAACGATGACAGCGAGACACGGATTCTTCTCGACAGCCACCGCGGTGCTGCTGCTCTGCGCAGCCCTGGTAAGAGATCCGGCTGCATAGCTGCGAGTTCGGAATGTGCGGATAGCTGACCTTTGACTTTCCATTGATTACAGCTGCTGACCAAGTCCTGCGGCGTTCAGGCCCTTAGCGGTGCTGGTAGCGGCGATTTGGCCTGGAGCGAAACAACAACGCTTGCCGAGGGTAGCGGTTGGGAGGAGACGATCATTACCACACCACAGCCTGACGAGTCCACCGTGCAGGAGGAAGTGACAACGGATGCCATTGAGGAGCTGGACACTACAACAATAGCTGTCGAAAATCCACCAGAGGGTGGCGTAGAGACAACTACTGCTGCCGCTGAGGATGCGGAAACCACGCTCAGTCCCAGCGAGCCGGAGGCAGAGACCACAGTCGCACCCAATGAGGAGTCATCCACATCGAGCCCCAGCGAGCAGCAGCCAACTGATGGCCCCAGTGGAGAGCCCTCCACTTCGGCACCCAGTGTGGAGCAGACCACTGGCAGTCCTAGCGAGGAGCCAACCACTGGCAGTCCTAGCGAGGGTCCAACCACTGGCAGTCCTAGCGAGCAGCCAACCACTGGCAGTCCTAGCGAGGAGCCAACCACTGGCAGTCCTAGCGCGGGTTCAACCACTGGCAGTCCTAGCGAGGAGCCATCCACATCGAGTCCCACTGAGGAGCAGTCCTCTGCCAGCCCCGGCGAACAGCCATCCACATCGAGTCCCACTGAGGAGCAGTCCTCTGCCAGCCCCGGCGAACAGCCATCCACATCCAGCCCCATTGAGAGCTCATCCTCTGCCAGCCCCAGCGAACAGCCGTCTACTTCCAGCCCCATTGAGAGCTCATCCTCTGCCAGCCCCAGCGAACAGCCATCCACTTCCAGCCCCGGCGAGGAGCAGCCCACAACTCCAGAAGAAGAGGCAGGCGCCACCACCATTGCACCCACACCACCGGCACCGCCCGCATTCACGTGCGAGACCCCTGGTGTGTTCGCCCACATCAGCGGTGACTGTCAACGCTTCCATAAATGCGTCCAGGATGCTCCTTTGGGTGCGCTGAATGAATACGACCTGGTGTGCCCTCCGCTGTTGGCTTTCTCGCCCGAGTACGGCCGTTGCGTGCGCGACGTCTCGGCGTGCGACAATGATGCATTCGTTTGCGCATCTCCCGGACGCTTTGCAGGCAACGACTCCAGCTACTACTACAACTGTGTGGTGAGCTTGCGCGGTGGCTATCACAAGTACATTGTGCGCTGCTCGCCCGGCCAGCGCTTCGAGCCATTGATTGGCCGTTGCTGGCGCTACGATTGGACAGTTTACCAGCCCGGACAGGCGTATGAGGCCGAAGATTTGGCCGCCATCAAGCAGGAACAGAAGCAGCTGAAGACCGAGGAGAAGCTGCGCAAGAAGGCCGAAAAGATCAAGGCCAAAGAGCTGCTGAAGCAACAGAAGCTGGCCGATAAGCTGGCCAAAAAGGCGGCCAAGGAGAAGGCAAAGCAAGAGGCCAAGGCCAACAAGCCTGTGTCCATTGAGAGCGTCGAGTCCCCCGAGGTGCCCAGCATCGAAGAATAATCAGGCCCAGTAATCCAGTTCTAATCTATGTTGGTGTATAGCGTAGTCTCATTAAGTTATGGTTGTTAATTTCACATTTTTTTTTCTCCCTGTTTTGCATGAATAAAGACAAAAGTTCTTTAACAAAATGGTTTCAAATGCTTTTGGTCAACAAAGAGCGCCCTAGACGGTGCGTTTATCAGCTAATCAGCCGCAATCTTAACGATTGTCAAAAAGTTGTTTGTGGCCGACTATAAAAGAACCGAACCAAGTGCCCATCCAGTTAGTCTGTCGAAACAAGTAACGAATCGCAAGAGATAATACCATCAGAGGAGCGAATTGAGCAATAATACTCGAATATGTTTATCATTCAATTGGCACTTAGCGCCACCTGCCTCGTGCTGCTTGGAGCTGTCCACGCTGACTACCTGACGGTACCTTGCAGTGGCACGGATTTCATTGCCGACGGGGACAATGCTAACGGATTCTATGCGTGCGTTCCATCAACAAATGGGGGCTACCATCTACTTCGGCTGAGATGCCAGGATAATATGGTTTTCGATTCGGAACAGGCTCAATGTGTTGATCTTCAGCGGGATGCAGTCCCAGCTGCTGATGGTGGCGACATTGAGAACCCCACAATTCCACCAGGAAATTTAGATGAGAGTACTTCCGAATCCCCTCCAGAGCCTTCAAGTCCCACTGCAGCTCCCGAACCATCAAATCCGACTAATGCTCCCGGAACAAGCGGAACAACGGTTGCTCCTGAACCCAGCGAACCAACAAATGCCCCCGGAACCAGCGGAACAACGGTTGCTCCTGAACCCAGCGAACCAACAAATGCCCCCGGAACCAGCGGAACAACGATTGCTCCTGAACCCAGCGAACCAACAAATGCTCCCGGAACCAGCGGAACAACGATTGCTCCTGAGCCCAGCGAACCAACAAATGCTCCCGGAACTAGCGGAACAACGGTTGCTCCTGAACCCACCGGACCCACAAATGCTCCCGGAACTAGCGAAACAACAGTTTCTCCTGATCCCAGCGAACCAACAAATGATCCTGGAACCAGCGGAACAACGGTTGCTCCTGAACCAAGCGGGCCAACCAATGCTCCCGGAACTAGCGGAACAACGGTTTCTCCTGATCCCAGCGGACCAACAAATGCTCCCGGACCTAGTACCACAACTGAAGCTCCCGGAACTGGATCGACCACCCCGGAACCTGAAATAGTTTGCGCAACAACTGGATTCATGCCCAAAAATGGAGATTGTTATAAGTTCGTATATTGCTTTGAAGACGACAATGGTGATATACACCCGGTAGTTCAACAGTGCGTTAATGGGCAGCAGTTTGATCCAGGCTGCGGATTCTGTAGGTTAAACTACGACTGCACCAAGGCTTCACCTAATGGTGAATGCAATGTAGAGCAGTGAGAAATCAGTGCAGAATTTTAATGATGAAATAAATATCCCACTGTGTGTACAATTAAGCAATGCATAACTATAGCAACCTATTATTTTTTTTCAATCCCTGTGGAATTTTTTTTGTATTTTTTTTTTGTTCAAATGAATAAACTTTAGTCTAATTGATGTTAATTGATTGGATATATCTATCATATATCTCATATGCGGAATCAGTAATCAATTCGCTTTTAATAGAAAATGCTCAAGTGACCATGATAAGAGGACGTTTTAATTTTAAAATTCCGCCTAACTGACTGTCTGCCGTATCTTATCGATGGCACTTGATGAGCTCTTTCAATATTTGGGTCCAAATTTGGACAACAAAATGACGAGCTACTGCTCTGAGCGCCACGTAGCCATTCGAGCCAGATTGTAAGAACATGACTTTATTAGACCTACGATAAATCAAACAGTGCCACGAATGATCCGCTCTTATCTCTCTGCATAGTAACGAAAAGCTGGGCAAAAGCTGGCCGGCAGAATCTGCCTAAATTCCTTTCGAGTGCAATCTTTGTGTAATATCTGATTAAGCTTACAGTTTCGATACCCAATTCCACTGAATCATATCGAAGTCAACATCCTATAGTCAGCCAATTATGAATCGAAATGGCCAATAGCTACAATTGATAACGAAATTTATTTTAAATGCGGCCAATTCTATATATAAACTCAGAACTCATTGAACATGATATATGATAGGGCTGTGTCAATATTTTGTTAATAGTCAGAGGGATGAGGCCTTGCAACGTTCAGGGTATCTTCTAGTCGGGCACTCTTCATTTTAGAAAATCTCAACTTATTATTAAAAAAAAGATTATTGGGAAAGACATCGCTCGGCCAAAGATGCCATGATTTGATTTTGTTTCACTAAATATTGGGGCTTAGCCTAGAAACCTAATAGCGATCTAATGCCATTGATTCCTGTTCATGTTTGGCTATAACATTTATAGTCCACTCCAATATGCACTCACCTAAAAAAAAAGTATAGTCATAACGATGCAGATAATTGCGCATAATACAAATTCTAATCTCGACTGAGAAATGCCTTCCTGATAAGTGAAGCGGTTGGGGAGATGGGGTAACACATTATCTGTAATATTGTTATGATAGAAAAACCATTCAAGAAAAACTACGTCTGATTAAGACAGACAGTAGAGGAGTAGGGGAGTAGGGGAGTAGGTGAGGAGGTGTCGGGGCGACGTAGAGAAGTGGGAATCTGCAATGAGTAAAATAAATATGCAAGTAAATCGCACGGCGGCCACAACTCGATGAATTCTCAAATGAGTGAAAGTCGTCGGCGCCGCAACGATTGCATAAGGCAAGAGCGGGGAGAGCGAGGAGAGCGAGGGAAGCGTGGGCAGTGCGGTGAGCAAGGGGGTAGGCAACAGACAGCAGGCACAGAGGGAGGAAGATGAAGACGAAGCGGGAACCGTCGCTTGGTTGGACAATTGCGCATGCGCGTAGCTCGTTAAAATGATTTCCAACGCTGGCGACAATTAAAGCAGGCCGGGCCAGACTCTATCCACAGCAATCCCAGGCCGGCAGTCGTCAGTTGGCTGACGTCTGCAAATGCAAAAATAATTCCGGCACTTTTGCATTGGCCGCAGTCCAGGCACGTCGCCGTCGCTGTCGCCGTCGCCGTCGCCGTCCGTCCGATAGTCGAGCTCATGTTTGATGATAAGCGTTAGAGCAATGAGACGAGCTACGTGCAACGCACGGGCCAACGCTGTGCCATTTGGCCCTAAACGATGCTCATATACGCTCATGGCGCAAATGTAACTCTTGGCCATTATTAACAACATTAACAGCAGCAGCAACAACAACAACAACGGCTAAGTATCTGCTGCAGTTGCGGCTGCTGATGCGAGTTTCGTCTCTAACAGTGATGAGACTTGTTTCTCGCTTTCTTCTGGGCAGGTGTTGCGTCGCCGCTGACCCAGCAAACAACCAAACAGCACTAAACAAATCACAAACATTTCGTGCGAACCTTTCTTTTATTATCATCATATTTTTTGGGTTTTTTTTATGTGGGGGGCACACAAACTGCGCCCAAAATGTTGTTGTTGTTTGGGGGCACAGTAAAGATAAATGGCGAGATACAATTGTATCTTTATTTGAATGTTGCTCATACTCGCACTTCTTATGTAATTTGCGCATTTACACATTATGTTTTATTTGTTTATATGTATACATATATATTTACTCTTTTTCTTTCATCTTGTCGCTGCTGTTGCCCAAGCATCAAGGGGGGCAAGAAGAAGCTGAAGAAGCAGCTGAGAAATCGCTGTTAGCCCAGATCAGCATTCAAATGTTGTACGAAAATTATGCGATCCGCATCACCAGGCAAACGAAATCGACAACAATCCCCGCCGTTTGTTTCAAAAGAAATTTGCAAGCCATTACGTCGGAGTTTTTTTTTTTTTTTGGATATTTGCCGGAGTCCAATCAGGGTTATCAGTTCTCACTTGGTCTCAGTGTGGCAAAAGAGAAGGATTAAATAATGGTTGGTAAGTCTCGAGAGGAAGTCGGAAGTATCTTAGCTGAGGAAGACGGTGGCAGCTGTACGTCGGATCAGATCTAATCCATGAAATGGAGGTGCCCTGTGTGCGGAATTTTTACGGGCAGATGGGTAAAGAGATGAAGGGAAGGGCAGATGGACGGACAGACTGACGGATAGACGAGCGGAGGAATGGAAGGCCAGAGGACAGACGAAAGCATGGCCGGACGGACAGTCAGACAGATATACAGACGGATAGACAGACAGACAGATATACAGACGGATAGACAGGCAAACAGATATACAGACGGATACACAGACAGATGAATGGACACACGGATAGACAGACGGACGGACATACAGACGGACAGACACACGGCTGGATAGACGGACAGACGGACAGACACACGGCCGGATAGACGAACACACAGACAGACGGACAGACAGTTAGACAGACAGACAGACGGACAGACAGTTAGACAGACAGACTGACGGACAGACAGACAGACAGAGGTACAGGTGGAGAGACGGACAGGTGGGCAGACGGACAGATGGATAGACACATGGACAGACAGACAGACAGATGGACATTCAAACAGACAGACGGGCAGACAGACAGATAGGCAGACAAACGATTGAATGCGCAGTGGACAGACGGACGTACAGACGGATGAACAGCAAGGCGAAACTAGCACAAAGCTAACATACTCGTTTCACTTGATGAAACGTCATAATTTCCATGTTGCCGTTGAGCCCAATAGACGTGTGAACGACGCTCTAGTTCTGATCTGAATGCTAGCCAAGATCTTTTCGCAGATGTTTGCCATAATGACGTCACAGACTTATCCAATGTTGAGAAACTGATTTAGATCTAGCTTAACTAAACTGCAACAATATTTACTACGTACAAGCTGTGCTTCAAATTTGTTGTTGTTGTTTGTTGGAGATATTCTATTATGAGCCACGTCTAATGATCGTAGTGCTCTTCAAGTACTTCTTATGAGTGAAAATCTAAATAGTTTGCAAACGTTCTCCCAGCCTTTCTAACTGCCAAAGAATGGTAAGTAATGCCAAAAAGAGAAAACAAGTAAGAGGCCTCTAGTCGGGTGTGCACGACTAGTAGAACCACTACCTCAGCACAGAGCTGTCTGGAACACTAATTTTCCTAATCATCAATCATCGTTTCTAAAGGCATATGGAGCAATGAACTCGCCAGCCCATAAAGCATACGAAATAGTAATTTTCTGTCCAAGCTTATGGATTATATTCAGCCCAAGTGCAGCCATTCAACCAACAACCAACAATTTCAATCAGAGCACAAAACCTTGAATGGAAATTCAATATCAATATTAAGTAGTGTAGGTCTATCCGTAATGAAACGCCCAACTAGACTGAAGTAGAGACATTTATTGGCTGTTAACAGAGTTAAGAGTGCCACGCCTACTGCTGCCTGTTATATATTCGTTAGCAGATCATTATACCCTGCATATCCGTGGCAAAATGGTTTCAACTATAGTTAACTAGTTAACCAAATATATTTTTTTTTAAATTAATTTACAGAGAAACATAAATAAATTTTCAAGCTTTTCCCGGCAAAGTCAAGAAAAAATCAATTTTCGTGTCGCAATGGGAATTTCGAATCGCTCTGATTTTGCTCACAGCTTTGGCCAAGGATGTCTCCAGTGTCTCAGTGCCTCAGTGGCTCAGTTTCAGTTTCAGTTTCGTTTGCAGTTTCATTTTCAGTTTCTCGAGCTCAATTCCAGTTTTCGTTGGAGTTTTTGGCCGTTGTCACATTTATTTGCAACATTTTGCATGTTGCCTTTGAGCGAAAACCGCCCGCGAGCGCTCACGTAGCGCTAGAGACTAGAGACCAGAGAGACATACACAATGCGACGCTATCTCTCCCTTTCTCCCTCTCTCTCTCTCTCTATCAGTCGCACTCTTTCTCTTGCGCTGTACGCGCCGATCTCACGTTGCGGCGCGTCGCTTTGTTGGCTTTACCTGCCGCATTTTCCACGAGCGCGGCTCAGTTTGTGGGCGCCTGCGCGCATGTGCAGTTAGTTTTTGTCTCTGGCATCGATCGCTTGGCTAGCGGTAAAAAAATATATTTATTTTTATATACACATACGATCAACGAGATACGAGATACGTGGGTGCACCTCAGCGAGCCTCAATCCGTGCCGAATTACTAAAATAAAAAACAAATTAGTGCTAAAAAAAATCAAATAATATAAAAATAAAAAAAACAAAAACAAAGAATCGAGTGTAAAAAGTTTCTAAAATCGAATTGAATATATATCCCTAGTTCTTTTTTTTTCAAGTGCTATTTCATTTTATCAAGCCTCAAAGTGATCTTAACATAGATAAAAGTAAATAAGAGAAACAACGAGTGTTCTTGTTTTTTTTTTTACCTGTCCTGGACAGGATCTATCAATCGATCAATCAGCGTACTGTGAGCCCCAGCTCGACCCGGCTCGCACTTGAGACTTTTCCTGGGAAATTTTGTGTATGCATTTGCTGCGCCGACACTGAAAATGGTAAGTGTGAAAATGAAAACTGGAAATGGAAAGCAAATACTAGTAGTAAAAACAAATGACGCATTGCGAAGCCCATTTACCAAGAATTTTCACATGGCTAACAAAGTTTATGAGCCTCGCTGAGTCGCCGAGTCGCTGAGTCGCCGAGTCTCTGAGGGTTAGGTCAGGTTTTCTCTGCTCGCAAATGACTCTGTAGAATGTCAAGGGCTTGTTAATGTCCATTCCGAAATGGGTTTTATGGCAGCGGCTGCCTGGCTGCCCCAGGCCAGCTAATCACTTTCCACCTTTCCATATACTACCGCGATATTTGTATGCATATAGCATAAAGTAGAGTATATAATGCAATCTATAAAATGTATTATAGAAAATACAAGAATTCTTCTCGCTTTCATATTGTACTCGGAAGTATTTTGAAATGTATTTGTATAGAGCCATCTTTCCAGCTTCTCTAGCACATTCTAGACCTCTTGAATGATCTCCTCTTATACGTGCATCTGCCACTTGTAACAACCCTTTTCGATCTTCGCTTTCAGTTGAAATTCCTTGAAATTTCTAGAAGCATTTCAGTTGAGTTCAGAACCAAGAATCGAAATGACTTGCAAAATGAATATTCCTTAAAAATATCAAACGAATTTTTAAATGAAGGCATTGCAGTTTCAATATTGATTTGGCTTTTGATTTTTTTTTTTTTTTTTATTTATTTATATATTTATTTTTTTTTTTTATTAAAAACTAAAGCCTAAACTAAAAGTACTCCAAAATATTTCTGGAATTTGTATGCTAAATCTTTTTCTATATACCAAAAAATTTAAAAAATATTATGTATATTATTTATAATAAACAAGACAATTTTAAGACTTAGATTCGATAATCTTAGAAATGGTTTTGGCTATATTTAACACTAAGATACGAACTCCCAGAACAGTATTCTATGGCTTACTACTTCTCGAGTTTACTTTAACTTTCAGTTCAGTATGTTGACTTTTCAATCATGTGGATTAACTTCCAGTTAGAGAGTGGACTACGCAGTTATTTATTCTTAATTGCTAGTTAAGGATGTTGACTATCCTAACTTCCAGTTAGAAATGTTGAATGCTTAATATTATGTGTTAGTACCGTTAACTTTTGAGTTATGTTAACTTTCAGTTTAAAGGGCTGACCATTTTACATAGTAAACATTTTCATTTGAAAACATAGACTATACGACTATGAAATATTGAAAAGCAGTAAGAATTGTTGGCTATGCAGTTGTATAGTATTAACTAACAGCTAAAAATTTTGACTATGCCGTTCTATAGTATTAACAGCCAAATAAATATGTTGACTATTCTGTTCTATAGCACTGAATGTTGACTATTCTGTTCTATAGTACTAACTACCAGTTAAAAATGTTGACTATGCCGTTCTATAGTATTAACTACGAGCTAGAATTGTTGCCTATGCAGTTGTGGTTTACTAACTACCAGTTAAAATTGTTGGCTATTCAGTTCTATAGTATCATCAGTTCGAATTGTTGCACACTCAGCTAAGTAGGATTAAATACTAGTTAGCTGACTACTCAGTAATGTCGTATTGACCTTTAGTTAAAAATCTTGATTATCTTTTAGGTAATCTTAACTGCTAGTTAAGAGGGTTGACACAAACTGGAAATCTTGACTGTGCACTTATGTTACGTTAACTTCTAGTTAAACATTTTACTAATTACGCGTGTAGACTATCCGCTGGCAGTTACTAACTGCACTCTGCAGTCATGTAGTATAATACGATCAGTTAGAAATGTCCTCTAGGCAGCACTCACTGATGGCTTCCATAGGCACGCAGCAGATGCTTTGCAGCTTTCACACACACATGCGCATGTCTCGTTTAGCTAAATATTATGACATGTGGCATATGCAGCTTGGTGCATGCTATACCCACTTAGGCTGAGGCCTTCCTCTCCTGCCTGTCGCACATCTCAAGTGGCTTGTTAAGCTGGCCGGATTGCCTGACAACAAACTATTTGCTGCAGCTGTAATACGCGCATGGCCAATGAAGAAGCCAAAAAATAGTAAACAAGAAACAAGCAAAAAATGAAAATATAATAATAATAGAAGGGTAAGTCAGTTGGCTAAAAGCAAATGCAAGCGCTCGCTTTTCACTTCCCAATGCGCTTAGCAATTAAATGCATTATCACATCAACACGTTCATGCGTCGCCTGGCCAACTGACAACAGCCTTGTTGTTGTTGTTGTTGTTGTTTAGTGTTTGTTGTGTGTTTGTTGGTCTCGCTGCGTACTCCTGTTATCGGCTAAGCCGAGATGAAATTAAGATGCCATCATCGTGCAATCGCATAATTGTGGCCCGTGTCAATGACATTCGACTGCGACTTCGACTTGGACTTCGACTTCGACTTGGACTTCAGTTTCGACTTCTATTTGGTCTATCTGGAGTCCCTGCCGCCTGCAAATGGAATGCAATCGTAGCACTGGCTTACACAATCAGCGCCGTTTCAAGTGCTACAATTACATTCAGACTACATTCAATTCATTATTCATTATATGCATATATCGAAGTACTACATATATAATGTGGCGCATGTTATGCGTGTCGCGTAGTCCCTCCAAAAACACAATGGAAACACACAAAAGTACAAAATACAACAAAGAAACATAAAGAAAGAAAGATTTGGTGCTATAGCACCATAGCCTAGCATAGCTACACATGTCTGGCAGTTCGCCAGCTTTGGTGCTCGTCCAATTTGGTGTTTCACTTTTCAATTGAAATGCATTGGCCGGCGCGCACCTGTTACGCACGCACAGGTAACCCCGCCGCGCCGCCTTCGAACCGCAACCGGGCTGAAACAATAACATTAACTTTAACAATGGCAATACCCAAAGTGTAATATATTTAAACATATATATATTATTATTTTTTTTGTTGTTTTTTTTTTTTTTTTTTGGTATTTTATTTTACTGTGTTGGGCATTGGCGTTTGGTTTTTATGTAACACACAAAAGAAACGCGTCCGTTGCGCTTTTCGCATGCCAAAAAGCCGAATCGATCTTTCATTTCTCTACCGAGCCGTACACCCGCCCCTCTGTCCGTCGATTCGTTTGCCATAATGCGTAATTGGCAGTTGAACCGATCACTAATGCCACTGATAAGGCTAAATAGCGTCATGGGAATCACTTACAGAGGCGCTACTTGAGTCCAATCAGTGATTGACGCTGACCCCGGGCCACTTACGTGGGGTCCCATACAGTCGGCATCGATTCACTCTCACGATGATCCATCTCAAATGAGATGTACGCTCGCCTGATTGACGGGCTGATGTAGCTGTTGATCTATGACTTGACTTCAGCTAAAGTTCCTGTCAATTCAAAGTGGCTGTCAATTGCCATTTATTTTGCTCAGCGATTGAATGATAAATATGAAAAATAATAAGCGCTGTCAAGCAAACCTAGAGTGAAATTTGCCTATATAATAAGCTTGTAGTACTTGATCGTAAGTTACTTTTACAAACTTCATGATAAATTTAATGTTAAATAAGTGCTTTTAATTTATTTCAAAATCTTAAACATTTATGTTTGTAAATTCTCAATTTGACATTCAGCTTACAATCCAATGTTGAGTTGGCTAGCTACTTTATAAGGTGATTCCATCAACTCCATGTTAGATTTGTCAGTCACTTTAGGAATAGAGTCAATTTGCCTTGCTATAGAAGTTTTACATGTCATAATAATATGAAGAAAATCATTTACAAGCTTTAATATTTAGTGAAACATATCGGTTCTTAAACTTAATGTTAAATTTATGAGGCTATTATAATATTTGGCTTGCTGCGACTTGCTCTAAATGTATTACATATTAACATATGAACTAAGTTCTTCTAATTCTACATTTAACATTCAAATGCAGACTAATTTTACAATGCACATGTTAAATTTACCAACAACTGCAAGCTTCATGTTAAACTTAGCAGGCAGTTATAGCATTTGGCTTCACTCGATTTCCTACAAAATGAAAAAAAGTCTATCAATTGCATATTTGAGATGGAACATTTTCAACTGAATGTTAAAATTTACCAGCTACATGGCATACGCAAAGTTTTCACCTTTTGCCATAAATCTGTCGAGTGAAATTTGCTCAAAGTTTCGATCGATTTCCGTTTGGCCAAAGCCTTCCGCTATTCCGATTAGAAAACTGATTAGGCTTAGCTAACTCTGATTTGCATTTATCAGAGATTAATCAGCGGGATTTCTACTGTAGACAGTCAGACTGCCATGGATTACTGTCCGACTGTCGACTCTTGACTGTCGACTGTCGACTGTCGACTGTCGAATGGATTATGCAAGCAATCGTCGTACAGAAATTACGCATACGCCGCATGTGTTACATATATGAAGTAAATTATATGAGCTTATTAATGCATTTAGTTGACACGCTTTTGATTTAAGACGCGGCCAATTAAGCCGCTGGCCGAGCAGCTATCACGAAATTAACGACAGGTAGAAACAGCAGCAGCTCAGCAGCAGCAGCAGCAGCAGCAGCTGATGCGAATGGAAACAATTAACAATAACTATAACAGTGCCATCAGAGTCTGGTTTACATTATTTATAAGCGCTCTAGCGTCGCGCCATTTAATTATAACTCAAAAATATAGCATATGATGCGGCTTTGCGGCCATTTGGCTTACCTCATTATGCCCACTTTTTATGGCCCAAAATAGAGATAAAAAAATAAATAAAAAACAGAAAAAAACGAAACAAAAAACAATTCAAATAATCAGTTGCAATTTCACTTCAATTTTAACAACTTACACAGAGTGTCAGTTATTTATGTGACTCTAGCTCGACTCCAACTCCAGCTCCAGCTCCGAGTCTGACTCGTCTTGACTTGTCTCGTCCGGCCTCATAATTGAGGCCTGTCCAACTCTGCTGAGTTGTTCCCACAGTTCCAAAGAAAATGAACAACAAACATGCAACAATTTTCGGCATTTCCCTAGATAATGTGCAGAACTTGC